CTGTGAGTTCGAGGCCAGCCTGGGCAACCAAGTGAGTCCCAGGAAAGGCGCAAAGCTACACAGAGAAACCCTGTCTCGAAAAACCAAAAAAAAAAAAAAACACTGTTTAAAAAGCAGACATCCGAAAGATGTTTGATGCATATGCTCCAAGCAAACTCCTGCTGTCCTTACAGACAGATGTGCAGGAGAAGTTTGCCCAGCAGAATGGCTGACATCAGCATCCGTCTACCTCTCCACTCAGAGTACTTTAGACATATATAGTCTTCATGATGTTACAAGTCATTCTAAACACAACAATAATCCATTATACTGAGAAATCTGTCTTAGACAAAGACTTGTAAAACTGTAAGTTAGAAGCTGAGCATAGTAGGTCTGTAATCCCAGCACCTGCAAGGCTGGGTTACATGGCAAGGTCTTGTTCTGAAGAAGAAGAAAAAAAAACAATTATATTTGCATTGTAAATCCATTCCTCTGAATATGAACTAGTTCTGAGTGGTCACAAACAAAGGATCATTTCACTTTCTACTGTGTTCTCAACACCTTTCCATCAGTTATTTCAAGGAAACAAGAAATTCCATGTTTCACACTGGGATGGAAAAGAATCCACATTCTTTTGTTAAAAGCCATCAATTGCTTCAAATTTATATATAAAGGATAAAGAAAAAAGTCTCTATTTTATTTTCACTTACAAGTCAAAGGTAAGATGTTTATGAGAGGAAGTAACATGGGAAATGTGTGATTTTCTACACATGAATTCTTGAATATCAAAAAATGAAGTAGTGCTTCAGTATGTTTAAAAGCACTAACATATGCTATATTCTAAATCTCCCATGACTAACTCCTAATTCTATTTTTCCTCTCTTTAGAAACTGGGCCTCTATCTAATTCATCACATTTGGATACAAACCAGTACTCCAGAAGAAATGTTTGAAAGATCTGCTTTCTGTTGCAAAAAGAGAAAGTGACACTCCATCAGCTAGCAGCATTAGCAAGTGACCTGGAGTGAGGAGCAAGAAAAAAGAGAGAGGCAGGGAGTCCGTGGTGGTTGCAGATCACAACTGTGATGTTTTGAATGAGAATGGCCACCATGGGCTCCCATGTTTGAATGCTTAGTCCCCAGTTGGGGGAACTGTTTGGGAAGGATTGGGAGGCGTGGGCTTGTTGGAGGAGGTGTGTCATTGGGGGCCAACTCTGAGGTTTCAAAAGGCCAGCCATTCCCAGTTAGTTCTCTTTCTCTGCTTCCTGCTTGTGAATCAAGATGCAAACTCCCAGCTACTGCTCCAGTGCCCTGCCTGCCTGCCTGTCTGCCTGCATGTCTGTCTGCCTGCCTGCCTGCTGCCTGCTGTCTGCCTGCCTGTCTCCCTAC